TGGTCTTGAACTTGCAATGATCCCCCTGCCTCAGCCTCCCGAGTGCTGGAATTACAGGTGTGCGCCACCATGCCCGGCTGGTTATTTTGTTTTTTTATTTTTAAATGTTTTGTACCAGGAATCAAACTCAGGACTTTGCATTTGCCAGGCAGGTGCTTGTGCCGCTGAGCTATCCCCAGCCCCTATTTTGTTTTTTTGAGACAGTCTCATCATCATAGTTCAGGTTGGCCTCAAACTCCTAGGGATCCTGCTTGCTGGGATTATAGGGGGGGCCACCATGCCTGTTTGTTTGTTTTGTTTTGAGACAGGGTCTTGATAAGTAGTTCAGGCTGGCCTTGAACTTGAGGCAATCCTCTCCCCTGAGCTTCTAGAGGGCTGAGATCCCAGGGGTGCACCACTACACTTCCACTACACCGGAGACAGTGTTTTGGGGTAATAACACTAGGGGAGGGGAGGGTTAAGTGTGATGGAAGAGGGAGACCTTGAAAGTAACAGGAATGAATTCAGATGATGTGCTGGAGGAAGCAATGGATAAATGATGGGCATAGGATGAAAGAAAATGTCAGAGAAATCTTAAAGTTGGAAACTACAAGAAACTGAGAGAATAGTAGTAACAACAAAAATAGAACAGCTAGGCATAGCAGTGCACACCTGCGATCCCAGCACTTGGGAGGCTGAGACAGGAGGATTGACAGGCATTAAAGGCCAGCGTGGGATACATAGTGAGTTTGAAGCCAGCCTGAACTACATGGACTGTGTCTCAAAGAAGAAAAGAAAATTTTTTTGAGCATATGATTTGGGGAGAGAAAGAAGTTCTGTTGCACTTCAGGTGATATTAGGTCAGCTATGTAGACTGCAGGACCGTTGTTTGACTAAGAGACCATGCCTAGAAAGGTAGAGAAAAGAGAACGAAGCTTTGGTAGAATTCCATAGGACAGGGAGAAAACAAGTAACGTGGAAAAACAATGTTCTTACTGAAGGCCAATAAGAAATTAATAGTTTCAGTGGGGCGTGTGGTGGAAGCCTGTAATCCGAACACTTGGGAGGCTGAGGCAGAAGGATCGCCATGAATTTAAGGCCAGACTGGGCTACATAGTGAGTTCAAGGCCAGCCCAGCCTGAACCATATAGCGAGACCTTGTCTCAAAAAAACAACTTAGTGGTTTGAAATTATCAAACGATGGTGAGGTTTTGTCTGTTTTGCATTAATGAGGGACTGCTCCGGCCGAATAGGAAAATTTGAAGGCGCTAAGGAGGGATATTTATGGAAAGCTCCTTAGGAGGTTGAATAGGGCTGTAAGCCAAGGGAAGACCTTAACTGCAGGGAAGATAAGCAAAGCTAAACTCTACAGCGGGAACTGAAGAAGCAGGTGGAAAGTAACACGTAACAGTGGGGGGCGGGGGGCAGGTCGGGACGCAGAAAGATGAAAAGATGACCCGCTGGGGGTGGAAGTGGGAGGATGGAGGAACCGGGCTTGGGGTGGACCTAGAGGGGTGGTAGAAATTTGAAATTACCTATCACAGGCAAAGGTTCAAATCCTGGCCTGTCGCAAAAGTTACAGGAGAAGCATCTGAGAAGGCAAGAGATGACTTCAGGCGCCAAACTACCCCTACTGCGTTCCCATTCCTGCTCCAGACTGGAGCCTGGAGCCTCCATTTTGTAACCGGCGGATGATTCTCCCCGTCACGGCATGGTTGTCGGCTGCCCTCTGCTGGTCAGCTTTGGTCTGGGCTCTCCAGACAGCCCCCTCTGCGTGCGCAAAATGGGACGTGCTGGGCGCACAGCACAGAGCCGTCTGTGAAATTATTCCTGTGCTAGGTAAGTAAATAAGCTCAGGTGACACGTAATCACAAATTACTTCTGTACATATTTGGTCACACCTGAGAATAGGCCTTGTAGAGAATATGTAAAGAAACAAAATATACAGTACCCTCAGTGGCACATGCCTGGAATCCCAGCCCGGGGGACGCTAAGGCAAGTGGATTGCCTCGAGTTTGATGCCAGCCTGGGCTACGTAGTAAGTTCAAGGGCAGTCTGAATTACAGATCAAGACCCTGTTTAAAAAAAAAAATTATTTCAGGTAAAGAACAATATGGCCAAGCATGATGGCCCATGCCTGCAATCCCAGTACTCAGGAGGCTGAAGCAGGACTGCCGTAAATTCAAGGCCAGCCTGGGCTACATAAGTTCAAGACTAGCCTGAACTACATAGTTGAGACTCTGTCTCAAAAAATAAAATAAAAGCTGGGCATGGTGGCGCACACCTATAATCCCAGCACTCGGGAGGCTGAGGCAGGAGGATTGTTGGACATTTGAGACCAGCCTGGGCTACAAAGTGAGCTCAAGGCCAGTCTGACCTGCACGGTGAGACCCTGTCTCAAAAAGACACACACACACACACACACACACACACAGCATGAACAAGGCCGAATAACTACCAGGAACTAAAACAATGCTGGTGGACAGAATGTAGTGAAGGGGAAGAGTGGTCTCCTTTCTCAGATCATGCAATACAAAAAAGAGGCGTGGCAAGGCGGGCAGAAGGGCAGCTACTGTGGATGCCCTGGTGCAGCTCAACATACATTAACCTGGGCTGGGGTGCTGATCAGTGGCAGAGAACTTGCCTAGCACGGGCATAATCCTGGGTTTGATCCCCAGAGCTGAACAGAAAAACAAAACCATCCTGGCAGGCGGTAGGCCCAACCTGCAACCCGCCCCTCCTCCCTTAGAAAAGTCAACTGACCTGAAGCATATTTAGAAGGCAGGGTGATAAACAGAACTTGTTTCCATATTGTAGAAGCATGTCAAAAAAATTCCTTGCATGCAGCTTGGTGAACACTGCTGGCAGACAGACGGGTTTCAGCGGAGGGGGCGGGGCACTGACCAAGGAGCAGGGGCCTGAAGCACACAGGGACTCGGGGTGGTAATGGTGAAGCGCAGACAGGGTGAGACGAGCTCTGTCCATCACCCTTGAGCGCCCGGCTCTCCGCGATGCTGCTGTACCAGAAACAAAGTAGGAGGCTTGGAAGAGTGGTGCCGGCCCGTAATCCCTGAAGGAAGCTGAGGCAGGAGAATCCAGAGTCAGCCCAGCCTGGGCTACTTAGCAATTTAGGAAGACCTTGTCTGAAAATAAAAAATAAAAAGGATTAGGTATAGAGACTTGGGTTCAGTCCCCAGTAACACACACACACCCACACACACACACACACACACAGAGTACAAAAGCCCATTAACAACACATCAAGAACTGGATGAGGTGACTGAGGGAGCTCAGAGGCTAGCGAAGAGAACGAATTGCCTAGCTTGCTTAACACACAAAGAAAACCATACCTGGCACATACTGAGCATAGCACTCCCACGCCACCGCAGCCCCGTCCGCCTGTCACACCTCAAGAAACGACACTTGCCGTTTTGTGGGTCTTCAGGGTCAGCGGACTCTCAAGGCGGGACTTGCAGTCACAACAGTCTGAGGCTCCCTTTTCCTAGAAACCCCAGGGTTTTGACTGGGGTTGCGCAAGAAGCACTCACACTTCCAAGCAAAACTTAACTCTTTACCCAATTTCTGTGCTGTCCCCCCTAAAGAATAAACCATGGGCCAAAGCCCTGCCAACAAACGCCAAGTTGGAGAATATTTTTGCTTGTTTGTTTTTCTCC